GATGCATTTTAGATCCAAATCATAATAATTTTATTCTTTTAAAAATTTGCATTTTTCAATCAGATTTTATTGGTACATTTTAGGTATATATAATGATCACATTCATTCTAGAAAATTTTTACCTATACATGATATAACTTGATTCTTTTTTTTCCATTACAGCTATTTTAAGGCATATAACAAAAATGAATTTATGGTTGTTATTCCATTTAAACTTATTTTAATTTATACTTTAATATTAAATCAGTTCATGTGAGCTAATTTTATATCTGAGACCTTCAGCTTTAGCTGTTATGGGGTGGATTTGTGACAAAGCATATAAAATCTTAACAAAATTTGATGGTTGCGTGTGTTTCGGTGCCCAGTATGGCACACACAGGGTTCCAGGGCTTGGATGGTACATAGTGCCCAGAATTCCTGAAAGGTGACAGGAGAAATCAGTATGGTTTAAAGTGTCACGGGGGCATGGTGGAGGCGGCATGCTTACGAGGAAGGTGGGGCCCTTGCTGTGAAGACCTGTCCCTCACTCCACGGTCTTCTGTGCCCTTGAGAAAGAATCTAGTCAGAACACAGAAGTGAGCATGCCGACTGTAGATGGGAATTACTGTGTGGCAGATGTGGATGGCATTCTGCCCTCTTAGTTACTTTTCTGTCCTTGCTGAGACACAATATTCAGTGCCCACAAGTTAAGGGAGGAAAGCTTTATTTAGATCACAGTTTGTAGAGGTTTTAGTCTGTAGGCGGCTGGCTTCCAGGCAGGGTGGCATGGCAGAGGGCCATCACAGAGGAGAAACAATTCTTGGCAGGCAGCAGATAGCAAAAGCAGGCAAGTGACCAACCCTAGTGAGCAGAAAGCCTCTTTCTTTCCCTTGTATTTTATCCAGACTCCCCACCTTTAGAGTAAATAGTATTCACACCCTTAATCCTAACATTGCACCATCAGTCAACCACACACTAGATCTGGCCACGTCTAACAAAGTCCCACCTATGGCCACCTGAGGCTTTCAGGAGACATCTACTCTTCTTTATTTATTTAGTACAGGGTCTCGCTGCACAGCACAGACTTGTAGCACTCGTCCTGTCTCAGCTTCCCCAGCACTGGCATTACAGACATGAGCCACCATGCCTGGTTTCGGTGCCCAGTATGGCACACCCAGGGTTCCAGGGCTTGGATGGTACATAGTGCCAGGGATCAAACCTGGATCCTTGCCCTTGCCAGGCAGGCACTTAAGACTGCCAAACTATCTCCCCACCTCTTTTCTTCTTCTTCTTCTTTTTTCTTTTCCTTTCTTTTCTTTTTCTTTTTTTGATACCAGGAATCAAACTCATCACCTGAAGCTTGCTAGTCAGGCACTATGCTGCTGTCCTGTATCCCTAGCCCCTTAGGGGAGATCTAAACACAAGCCATAACAAATACCTTTAGGTGAAAAGGTGGGCATTGCCATATGGGCGTATATATTGAGTGCAAGTTTGGATATCTGTTTATGCACACAAGAGTTATTCTTGGTGTTACAGTGAACAGTGGTAATTATGATGCTTCTTGTCAGTTTTCTTAAAGCTTGCTTTGGAATTGTTAGATGTCTCCCTCGTTTTTTTCAGATGGACTGGATTCCTTCAATGGCCCTTCTCATGTTGGAAATTTAGGACTTTCTGTATGTAAATTTCTTTTCTAACAAAAATCAAATCTCAGCCCAAGGAGGGAGGATCTTTATAGAGCATTTCCTTTCCTGATATTCATGGGCTATAGAATATGGTAACCAGGAATGCAGTATGTATTATTCTAGAAAGAGAAGCCATATCTTTTTCTGGCTGAGACCTAATAAGTGATTCTAAAAATATTATACATTGAGGTATTTCTTTCTTTCTTTTTTTTTTTTTT